TAATATCACATTTATATATATACATATGGGGAATTCTTTTTTAAATCAGCCACCCCCCCTGCCCATTTCAATTTTGGAGAAAAAAATTTTTTTAGCACACGAAAAAATTTGTCAAGAAGTCTAGTTTTTGATGCCGTTAAGCGTTTTTAAAAAAAAATTTTCTAACCTCAAAAAAACTGTCTAAAGTGAGGCATCTCGCAAAAAAATGCTATTTTTTAGTCAAAAATGATCGAAAAAATTATAATTCATCAATAATTTTGACCAAATTACTCATTAAAAGTATTTTGTGGGTCGCTGAACAAGAATCCGATGTCAGATTTCAAATTCAAGATGGCGGTTTTAAATATTCTTCTTTTATAAAATTTCGACAGATTTGGAAAAGAAAGTTTAAAGATTTTGGATATAATAAATGAATCCTTGTTTCTAATGCTTGAAAAAATGCATTAAATGCATTAAAAAAATTCAAAACATATTTTAAAAATAGAAAATAAGCTTTTATCTCTACGTTGTCCATCATAGACAAAAGATATTCTCCAGAATTTGTTTTTTCGCTCACAACTATTTCAGTAAGAAAGTATTTAATTGTATCCCAAGATTCAAGAAGTCTTTCGATACATAAATAATGCGAAAGCCAGCGCGTATCACATAATTTCAATATTTTGCGATTTGTTTCTTGGAAACATTCACAAAATTCACGAAAAATAACCGTACGTTTTGGACTGCTATTGAGATAAGTAGCAATTTTTTTTAGAAATTCGTCGCAATATGCAGGCATTTTAGAACATGCAGCGTGCGCTGCTAATGCGGAGGAATGACATGGGCTTGAAAATGTTAATAAATGTGGACATATTTCTTCTAATTTCTTTTTAAACGATAAATGACAGGAATTTTATCATAGGTTTATCATGTGACAATGTATCTGTTATGACAGGAAAACGATGTTTTCCTGTCATAACAGATACATTGTCACATGATAAACCTATGATATTTAAAAATGGTATCTGTAATTTCCACATTTCACATTTAAATGCCTTAAACAATTTTTCTGCACTTGAATCTTTGGCATCAATATCAATTAATTTAACTAATTGTGAGCGAATATCTAATGTCTCTGTATCAACATATCGAACAAGAAAAGTCATCCATTTATCATTAGGTATATCAGATGTTTCGTCAATAAAAATTGAAAATTTTGTATTCTGAATTTTATTGACGACACGATCTGTTTCAACTGGGCATAAAATATTTGTAATAATGTTTTTACATTTTGTTCGGCCCATGCTCATGCTTTTTAACACATTAGGGTATTTTCCAATATGTTGAAAAAAGTTGAGGATTTCTTTTGCAGTTTGATGCGAAATATTTTTATCAGCAATTAATGCAGCATATCGAATTTCTGCTATTTTTTTTCGCTCTTTAAACGACAAAAGTGAATCATCTGTTATGTTTATATTTTCGTTTGTATTCATTGTTCTGTTTTAATTTTACATATTTCTATATGCGCTTTGGATTCTGCGTGACGATAAATTTTTGATAAATCACCTCTCATTGATTTATCACAAAATGAACAAAAAAACTAAATTTACATCATGTGATACTTTGCGTAACCATGACTTAAATAATTCAATTTCTAGCCATTGTTCTTGAAATTTATATTTTTCGGATATTTTTTTATCTAAATTTTTATTATTATTTTCATTATTAATATTTAAAACTGAATTATTTTCTTTAATATTATTTTTATGACACGCAGAATCCGCATGTCTTAAAATATGTGTATTGCACGAAAAATTTTTATTGCATATACTACAATAATAAAGACTATCGTCGGATGGTACTTTGCGTATCCAAGATTTATACCGATCATCATTGAGCCAAGCATCTGAAAAGCTTCGCTTATATTTTTTTCTCAATTCATCACTCATTTTTGTGAAACAAAAAATAGACAGAAACAAAGAATTAAAGAAGAATAAAAGAAGCTAAAGATGAAAAATGATATATATTGTGACGTTGCCGTCCTGTAGCGCGTCCATCCGCCCCGAGATTTTTACGGGGCGCGGGCCGAGCGGCCGCGCCAGAATCAACCTCGACAGAGCGTTATCAAAAATCCCCGGAGAGACGAGTGCTATCGTTATTTTGTAAGAATTTTTATTAATTATGTCGATATTTCTCTTTGTTTGTCATAAACGACAACGGGCACCTCGCCGGAGAAGATCCGGAGGACCGGAAGCATATCCAGGAAGATTGCGTCAAGACGCTCGTCGACAGCGAACGGAGGAAATAATAGCGCTTGAAAGGACGATACCAGGAGAATTGGCCCGCGTCCCAGGAAGGAGGACGGAAGTCCGATCAACGCTACCCTCCGAGGAAGACAACGACAGTGGAGTCTCCAACGGGCCCTTGTAAATGGGCCCGCGACAGCAATTTAACAATTCAAATCAAATTAATTGCGCGCGAAGCGCTAAAGCGCCGCGGATCTCGCGAGGCGCTAGGACCTCTTGCGTGCCGTGTCCTGATTGGCCGCGGGGCTGCGCATCCCACTAAACGGTCATTGACGCCGCTATCGACCCCGGGCCGCGAGATCCCAGGATCATTCTGGTGCGGGAGCTCGCCCTAATCAGTCGCTTTCGTATATCGTTGTCGTTTTCGTGTGAGATTTGTGTCTGTCGCTGATAAAGAGACCGAGCAGAGGACGAGGCCGAGGACCATCCCCAGCAGGAGGAAGCATTATCGGTGAGGTTGCCCATCTTTCTTTGTGAGCCACGTACGCGATTTCGTCCGCGTGCCGGCCGTTCTGCCGCCGTCGCCATCTTTTTCGTGTTTCGCGACCGCTCAGGCCCAGTGCCGAGACGGTGATACTTCGTGATTTTGTCGGGCGACCGGAGGCAAGCGACCGAGGAAGGACCATCGTAACGTCGGCGTTAAATTGATAAGGCAACGTTCGTCTCTCTCCGGGTTTTGGGTGTTCGGTACGCGTAGCTATCGACCGTCGAATATCGACTGCGTGCGCGAAGGATCGCGAAAGCAAATACCGCCCGTGTTGTCGTACCGCTGTCGTTGCCGCGTAGAATATTCCGGGACGTATCTCAGGGCGAATTTTGATGTCGGATTGCGTGTATGTCGTCGTTAATTGTTAAGAGTGCGTATGCGCGTTTTTGGTATTTTATTGTAGTGTGAGCGTGAGAGTAATTGCGTCATTGGCGCGTCTATTACGCCGTCGCATCGAGCGTAATAAAGGATAATAGAATACTTGCGTCTTCGTCACGTTTATTGCGCCGTCGAATAGCGCGTAATAAACGATAATTTGTATCTGCCGAATTAGTCGCGGTGCGAGATAATCGCCAAAGTATTGAGAGTGAAATTTGAGCGGCTTGCGCGGAAGAAAGAGGCGAAACATCGGCGGAGAAAAGTCTCCGTCTGCCGTCGGCTATCGAAATTTGAGAATATCGTTCGCCTGTCGCGTACGTGATCCATCTTCGCAAAAGTATTAAGTATTTTCGATCTCCGGTTACTTATGCTGTCGAATTATTAAGCTGTCGATTTGTTTTGCGAGCTAGGTGATTGCGAGGAAAAGTCCGTGGCGATAAGTTGTCGATCTGGCGAAATTACGATATCGTTTGAGTATTATCCGCGAATATTTCCGTGCCAAAAACCCTTGATATTCCGTAAAGTCTCGCTCAGTCCTGCGAACTCCGGCCATAAAAACGGTCTCGGATAAACCATCGGATTGTCTTAGGGCTCTCGTTTTCGTTGTCGATTGCGAGCAGATATTTGCTCAGAATACCGTCGCATTTTTCGTGCCAGAATTAATTGTATGGTATATTTCGCTTTCGTATTTCGTTCGAATTTATTGTGTACCGTCGGTTCTTGATTTGTATGATTCGTTCTCGTTTTTCGTGGAATTAATAGCGAACCAATGTCTCTATAAGGCATTATTAATCTCAGTCGAAGTATTGCTTCTTATTGATTGCTGAGTTATTGTTCAAAATTGATCCATTTCTTATTATTGATTTGTTAATTATTCGCTCGCATTGTTACTTTATTTTTCTAGTAATAAACTTGTTATCTTTCTTTGTCCAAATCGCGTAAGTTATTTAAGTGTTCGTCTCGCTTGGTTGTCGATTGTCGTTTTGTCTGTCGTCTGTCGGCTCCGTGGAGACTCGCATAATCAATTAACTTTCTCTAACAACCCCTCCCCTCTACCGTTAGGTGAGCTAGTCGGTCCGTGGCGAAGCAGGCTATCGTTTCTAGCGTCTTTCGGCTTTTCGCGAAAACTGATGCGTGGAAGATCGCATCTGGCGCCCAACTTTTCGATATATCGATACGGCCTCAGCTCCGCCGCGGCTTGCGCGGCTCGCCCTCCATCCCGGTTCCCCTGAGCGCGAGTACATTAATTTCGTTAATTTTTTTTTGACGGCGTTTCCGTTCCCCCGCGCACGCTCCCATCCAACATCTCGAGGAGTGTCGCGATTCATTTGAATCTAATTGAATAAACGTCGCAATATATATATATATATATATATATATATATATAAATTTGAAATAATCAGAACTCACACACAAATCGGGATTGTGACAGTTCTTGAACACCAAGATTTCAGAGCACGTATAATAAATACGTTTACTTGACAGTACAAGGCACGTAAAAAAATACGTTTACTTGACAGTACAAGATTATCTGATGAAAATAAATGCCGCGAAATAAATGAACGGCGTAAAACAAATTAAACGGCATGAAACAAATAAACAAATGCCGAGTGTGCCTCAGTGTCTGTCCATCAATGCACAGCGACAGATCGAACATAATGTCTCGTAAGTAAATCGTTATTTATACAAACTATTAGAAATTTTAATATTTCTGTTATAATTTTTTATCTTAATAATTTTATAGAAAACATCAGTGAAGAAATGGATGCGCTGGTGCTGCAGGACCTAACGTGCAGCAAATAATGCGGCAGCAACAAATTTTTGGGCAGCAGCTGCAAATATGCTTGCAGTAGCATCAGCAGCATCAACAGCATCAGCAGCAGCAGCAGCCGCCGTCGCCGCCGCCGCCGCCGCCGCAGCCGCAGGAACAGAAGGAGCAACAGCAGGAGCAAAATGGTACATTATTTTTTATATTATATATATATATATATATATATATATATATATGTATATACATATATAATAATTTGTTTTATTTTTCAGAAAATAAAATTAAAAAAAGAGGAGGCGAGAAGGCTCGTGCCCGCTGGTATACCAAGCGCGGCAGGGGTATGGTTGGCGGTCGAGGAGGCGACCGAGGCCGAGGAGGTGGCTGGGCCCGAAGAGGCGCCGGGGTCCGAGGAGGCGGCTTGGCCCGAGGAGGTCGAGGAGGCGGTTGAGGCCGAGAAACCATAATAAAAAATTATTATTATTATTGAGCTTATATTACCAATAGATAATAAAAAATAATTAATAATTAATAGAATATTTATTTTTTCCAATATTTTATTCCTTTTATCCTTTATTCCTAGATATTTTTTTCTCCTTCTTCTATACATGAATACAATGTGGTATAATAGGGCTCTAGGCGAAGATCCACATAAAAAATCTAACGCGCCATTGGTGATACCCCGTGGGTGGTGTGGAAAATCGCCACACTCATTAAATTTTTTTATTTTATTATTTTAAATGTATATATATATATATATATATATATATATAGAGAGAGAGAGAGAGAAAACATGTTAAATTATTATAAAAAACTAAATAGTTTTATAATATATTTTTGTAATATAATTAGTACATATTTATATTTGTACATATATTTGTATAATATATTTATAATGTATATATATATATATATATATATATATATATATATATATAGATTACATTTCTACATCTACATAATACTTCTACATAAATAAATATATATATATATATATATTTATTTATTTATATATAGAGTAATAAAGAAATAAAGTATTGCGACGCCGTCGCCCGCCTCGGGAACGCCGCTCCCGAGGAGGTAGCGTGCAAATTTGGCGGGGTCAGTAATTGGCGGTATCGGGATCTTAAAATGGCGGTAACGGTATCTTAAAATGGCGGTAACGTACGGTATCAGGATCTCCAAAAAAAAAAGGAGATAGGATATGGACGCCAGACGCGGTATTTCCGCGCCACGATATCGAAACGGTAGCGGTAAGCTCAGTTTATGGCAGAGGAGCAGAGTTCTTTGTGAATTATTTACAGTAAGGGGGAGAGAGCGCTAGATTATCTTCAGGAGAGAGAAATGACTAATACTCAGTTATTTTGTTCACAAATAATTACATATATTGTAAAGTTAAAATACACACACAATTAACAGTATAATCGAATTTAATATAATATGAAGGAATTTAATATAATAGATATAAAATCGGTAAATATATCGGTAAATATACAAGAAAGCAAACCACAAAATACAATAATAAAAAAAAGCAGATAAATTTCGAAAGATAACGGTTATTTTACGAATTGCGGGAAACAAAAGACACGTTATAACGGCTGATGCGAAGGTCAGATACAATAATCTCAGAGATGCTACTTGAAATATTGACTCTGAGTCGGCAATAAAAAAAAGGGGAAAAAAAACGGTATTGAAATAGTTTTAGTCTCTCAATAATTACGGTAACCGAAAGCAGTGAACATTAGTGGCGAAATATCTGACAAAACTTGAGAACGAATTACGTCCGATTTCAGGTCGCACGTCGAGGCGTTCGTCTCGCTGACAAATTTCGGTATAATTACCAATTAGTTTTATGGCGGTAATCAACGTAATTAACGGTAACCAGCTAGTACAGGAGTTTTACGATCAGACTATTATACGCGGATGGTTTACGAACACTCCTGGAGGCGCGAGCCTCGTGTTAAATATCGATATAAATCGAACCTAAATTTTCATACAATTTTGACGGTAACGTTTACGACCAAGAATGATTAACGGTAGAGAACAATAGACAACTAAGAAATGAACAGAATTCTAACCCAAAATAGACGGTATACGTATTTTATATACGTTCGATATAACTCGAATCGAACCTTTTCCTACGGTAATTAGCGATGAATTTCGACAAAGTTTTAATGAAAAACAAAAGCTTTATTCAACGGTATCTTCAAGGAGGTGTAGACGGAAACTGTTTACCCGATGTAACGGTCGTAGCACGACCTTTTCGGTAACAATAGCTCGACGTTCGCGTAACGGAAATTTCAAACAAGTGATACGGTAATACTTTTCGGCGGAGATTTCGCGTAGGGTAATATTCTTGCCGGGCCGTTCTCTTAATTTCGGTAACACACGCTCGCGAAGAAATTACCCGCTCAAATCCCGCCTTCCGGTATGCGATATACTCGATCAAAAATTGCTGCGTCACGCTCGGAGTATCGATACAAAACAATGTTAACAGAAGTGGTACAATTTTAAACGGTACGGAAACGATACACAATAATACGGACTGTCGGCACGAACACCCCTGAGAGGGACAAATCCGCGACCCCGGGGACAGCTGGCGCCCGACAATTACGGTACAAGTATCCGACTTTACGGTAATCTTTACGGTATGATAGCCGCCCTGCGACGGTATCTCGGCACGATGACACCAGTTGATCCCGGAGGAAAATTACTAATCGGCTACCTGTGCGACGGCTTACAATTATTGTAGGTGGCGGCTCCCTCAGGGTCGTCTCTTCCAAGGTTCTGCTGATGTGCACAGGACACTAGCTCACCGTACAGTGACGATCTTCGTCTGTGCTCGCAAGACCCTCGAATCCCGCGCCGATCGTCCGCGCATTTTGTCAATTTCGGGAAAAATGGGGTTGATTCTCCGCCCCCTCGAAAGTTGCTGATGTTGTACGGCGTTGCCCTCACGCAGGGGCCCAGTATTCATAAGCGACGGTAATTCGTGATGATGCCGATTCTCGGGGACGTGACCAGCTGGCCAGGCCGTATCCGCGTCTCCTTCCGAGATTTCTGTTTTCCAGTCGGCCGCCTGGAAAGTTGCCTTCAGCACCGTCGTCTGGATTCGCTGCCGTTTCTTTTTCAATCTGAAATAATGCAGATTTAATCTCCAATTACATTATTAAGAGCGGCGGCGCACAGTGGGCAAAATTTAAAAGAAATGGACAAAACTCGATAACTCGTTGAATTCTGCAATAAATTTTTTGAAAATTGATATTCTTAGATTGTTTTGGACGTAGATTTCGAATTTTAAGTCGAAATCATCAAATTCAAAATGGTCGATTTAATATGATGTTTAATATGAGATCTCTCGATTGCTAGTAGTGAATATATTATGTTAAAATTTAATAGTGACTGGATTTGGTTCAATTGCTTTGATTATATTTGAATATGCAATTATAAACCTTTTCACCGCGACAAGGTACCAGTGTAAGAAAAGGGTTTTTTTTATTTCAATTTTTTTGTTTTTTTTTTCATTTTTTAATATTTTTTTATATTTATTTATTTATTTATATTTTTTTAATTTGATTTCTTATGATAAATAAGGGTTTAGGTACTACATAAAAGATAATATTAAATATTCTATATATTTATCCTATCTCTATCTCCATAGAAATATCATCGTCTCCAAGATTTTCAAAACAATCTTCAATATCTGAATTTTCTGAACTATTGTTATCATTATCTGAATCTTCTTCTGAAATGTCATTATTTTCATTGTTATTTAAATCATTTAGATCGGTCCACTTGATTAAATTTTTTGCTTCGATTGATAACTCTTTTATTATTTTATCTTTTCGCAATCTGTTAACACTAATAATAGGATCCGATGAAATGAGAAGATAATTCATTATATCTTCATTATTGCTTTGACGGAAACAAGTTCTACTATAATAGCGTCTAGCAGCTTTAAATATTTTATTTCCAGACTCTTGAGCCTCTTCTGAAAAATAACCAATAGGTAAAACCAACTTCCGCATAATGTTACTACCATGTAGTAATACTTTATGTACAGAGGGAGGCATTCTGTACCACCCGTACAAATTAATATACAATTCCGCAGTTTCTCTGGCATATATTTCAAATTTTTCAAAATCTACTGCGAAACTACTTGCCATTATATTGTTATAGTCCGAGAGACTATAACTTATTATACCATTATAATAGAATATATAATAAAACATTCGCGAACCGCGCAAAACCGCCATCTCAGCAAATCACGCGCGAGAACGCTCGCCGGAAACGCGAAAGACGCTAACGAAGGGATTCGACTTTGAACCTCCTTCGCTTGCATTTGGACTTTGGACGCCACGAAGAATCCCCATGACCATACATGGTCATGTCGCTAGGCGATCCCCTCCAAAACACCCCCGAAACCGAGGAAATAAAAACCGTCCACCGCGAATCCGCGGCGGACAGTCGTTAATTATAAATCAAACAACTAGTGCGAGACCGAGGGCTAACCATTATATAGTACGACGAAACATCCGACGAAATTGATAACACCCTAAATCTGAGAACGAAGCGATTTAGAAAAGGACGACGAAGAGAGGGCTCGAAAGAAACTGACTAATGTCGAATAAATGAATATATTTGTATAAAAGAAATTTATAATAAAAGTTGCACAAAAAATCCAGGAATTAACTTGAAATTCCCGGCTACCCCACACCCTGTGCCGCGTCCGGCACAACATTTCTGGTGGCAGCGGTGGGATAGCCGAGATCGAGGACCATCCTGGATCCTTAACGCCTGCAACAAAAAGAAAATACAAAATTAATAAACAGGAAAGAGCAACTGCTATATTAAAGCAGATAGTCTCAACCAGCACGCAACACACACGGACGACAGTGATAAGGAAATCACGGCCAAGCAGCTGAAAGCCGAAAGGAAACACCAGCGTTCAAGGACCAACGTCGATCCACGGCCAAGGCAACGCAACGCAGACGGACAACGCATCGCCGACGGACAGCGCACCAACGCGGGACAACGACCCACCAGCAGCATCAACAGTCGAGTGATACGATAAGCGACCCGATAAGTTACGACCATGCGAATCACCGTACTACTACTGTAAGTCGAACTTTATTTAAATGTCAGCACCGTCAAAACAAGTAAAATTTAAGAGTCCGCGATTTCTGAGCGTGCCAGCCCGATTGGCAAATAGATTCGGAACTGTAACTCCGATACGAGTAGCAGAAGCTGCTCGCGATATTCGTAGAAGCGTGCGAAAAAATTTAGAAAAACATTATTCGAGTTCTAATTCGTCCGAGGAACACGAACCGAGTAATAACGATAATTCGGTACAAGACGGACCAAGTCGCGTTACAGTACGAAGAAATTATTCACCGATATCAGTTGATATTAGTTTATTCGAGCCACGTGCGCAAGTGAATATGGAAAACGAAGCCGTCGATAGAGA